GGGGGGGGGGGGAAAGGGGGGGCCTTTCCCCCCCCCCCCCCGGATTGATTGGATAAAAAAATTTTTGACGAAAATAGACACAAAATTTATTGAAGTAAAGAGAAAATAAAGAGAAAGTAACTAAGCCGATGTCCTGTCCGTTCGTTCACCATACAAATACGCTACAGTAAATTAAAACTATATTAAAACATTACTAAAATATTTTTGCCCCCCTCTGGAAAGTTAATCGATTTTTTGCCCCCCCCCCCCCAGAAAGTTTTCTTCGGGCGCCCATGGGTATTATAAGTACCGTGAAACTCACTCGCTCACACCTTCTGGCTTCTGGACATATCGAAAAATGACGCAAAAACTGTTTGTGGCCAGTTTACATTCGGCTTAGGACAGTTTTCTAATAATACTACATCTTAATCCATTATGGGAAAATTTTAAAGAATAAAATAAAATCTTAGTTTAGTTATGAAAATTTTATTATGTTTTGAATTTTTTTAGGTGCGACGTGAGACTAAGGGCAAGGGGGAAAGCGGATAAAGAATTTGTGACACTTTGTGACAGGGGGAGGAGGGTTGGGTCTGAAAATGTCATTTTTGGCGTGACGTAATTTGCGAGCGACCCCCTAACATATTCCTACATAAAGGGAAATGTTAATGAATTTCTTCACAACGAAGTTCAAGAAATGAAAAAAAAATAATAATAATAATATAAATTATTATTTCGGCAAATAGTCTGTTTAATTTACCTTGGGTTAAATTTTTAAAAAAAAACTGTCCATTAATGATCTACATTTTTGGTGCGAATATTTCTTAAAACTCACATCGGTGATGACATGAAAATAAAATCACATAAACATATTTTGACTTTATAATCCTAATACCAAATCTTAATTTAAACAACATTATCTCTTCGATTCGTCAATATTATGTTATTTTTCAAAAATATTTGTTCCGTCTTAATTGTTTTTTTATAAAACATTTACCCAAAATATTCTCACGCTACGAAACAAAAGCCAAGGCCAAAGTTAATAGTTACAACGAATTATTCAATAAACGATAACAAAGATGATAGTTATTGGACGACTCGTGCACTGGTGTCAGACCACATGACTATACATCTGATCAACTGATCACCGAACACATCAATTCAACAGATTTATTAAAAAGAAATTTAGCAAGACAACGAAAGTTAGTTTATGAACTTATGTCATGTCGACTTATGACTTATACTTATAACTTAATTACTTATTAATTTACAATTTATAACCTACGTTATCGTATGTTCTGGTACAAGTGACATTTTACAGTACAGTCTGAGTATTACTTATTCTGATTATTCAGTATATTAATATAGTTAATATAGTAGGGCCTATAGTAAGTTTAGTATAATAATAATTTATTAATTATTAAAATTAGTTAATTATTAATACCTGATGAGTGTATACAGTCTTTAAAGAAATAAGAACACTTTTTTATTAGTTTTTTTTTTGTCTAAGTCTTACACTTCATTTTTTTTTTTTTAGTTTAAATAACTGTTCTGTAGTACCCCCACTACTACTACTTCACTACAATACTACACTAAAGTAAAGTGTCTAGAAACTAGATATTAGAATAGGCCACATGAATGACTATTTTATTAAGTATCTTAATCTTATGGGTAGAAATAAAAGACTAATTTAAATAGTCAATAGTTGTCAATACACATGACATTGGTTGGGATAGGATGATAGGGCATGGGCCATCCATAAATAAAAGTAAAAGACATGGTTAATTGGGAAAGGGGGGGGGGGGGGGGGGGGCAAGTCACAAATTTGTGATGATATGTGACTGTCTAATTTGATTTAAAATTTAGGAATGGGAGGGTGTAAAATAATTTTAAAATGATGTGATTATTGTGATGTTATTATTATTTGCCCTTTCTGTGTGAGCCCATACACAACTTCTCTTGTGTTACTAATACTGATTTAATTCTTCTTTTCCTTACCATCAGAAAGACTAATTAAGACTCAAAAGTAAGAAGCCAAAGCCAAGATGGGACTTGCCCCTTTGATTAACTGTAGTAGAAAAAACAGTCAATTAATGAGATTTCTTTGTGTACTATTATGGATCGCACAAACTACATCTCAGACTCTAAGCCCTGATAAAGCAATGAATAAGGTATTGTTATAACTATCAATAATCACTATGTATAGAATAAGAGTAATCTTCTAATAATTATTTTTTGCTAAAGCATCCCACCAATCTTGGGCAAGCTTTAGATTTTTTTGGCTGGCATCTGTTACCTTGCTTCCTATAGATTCTGTGTTAGCCAAGTGCAGGTTATCAGAATGTGTGACTGATCCATCTCCACTGTCTTTGAAAAACTTAGACCTCATTGCAGGTCCTGTCTGAACAAATGGTGGTTTTCACTCTAAAAGTTCTCCAGTGGGAAAATCTACTGTTTGTTTTTCTACTTGTTGTTTCTTTACTAATTGTAAAAAGAATTAATTAGATACTATGATTTATAAATATAATTTAATTCAAGGTATATTCATTTAGTGATGCCAAAAATTTTGCCTGGGGTGGGGCAAGAATTTTTAATCACTATACTGTACCATTAATATTACCTTAGATTAAATAATATTATCTAATTTGATCAGTAAACGTTCTGATGATGTCATTTTTCTTTGATATAAAATGAGTACAGCAAAGTAGGGTTAAACCTGGAAAAAAGGAACGCAACAAAACAATGAACGTGTCGGCAGGAAGCCTTCATCAGGGAACAGAACAACAGTAAAAATAGTAAAAAAATAAAAATAAAAAACAGCACTTAGCTTAGAAGTATTATCCATGGGCAGCAAATGTGACAGAAAGTAAGTGAGTGAGAGATTAAATAGAGAGAGGGAAAGAAAAGAGGAGAAGTACGTCCACCGCGATAGGTCGGGACGTGGAGGAGCGGAGCTAGGTTCAAGCTGTGAAAAAGAGACATGACATTCATACCATGTGGCGTCAATGTGCCATAAGTCAGGATAAGCCTGAGTTCCAAATTCACACGGCTGGGTGTATTCCTGCTAGCCACGATCGCACTTATTGAAAAGTCTGTCTTGCCCTGGTGGTCGCTACTATTGAAGTGTTTGGAGACGGGACACTGTTTATCTTGTGTAATGTTACGGAGGTGTTTGGTCCACCTGTCAGAGAGTCGGTGTCCAATCTCCCCTATGTACATCATCTGGCAGCGGGTGCAAACAATGGCGTAGACGATGTTGCGGCTTGTACAAAGAAAACCGTCGCATATCTGAAAACTACCCTTAGGGAAACGTACGTGTTGAGTCTGGACCACAAAAGGGCAGGTGTTGCAATGGCTGTGTCCACATGGCTTGGTCCCAAAGTTGGAGGGGGCAGCATTGATACTACTGCGCACAAGGTCATCTCTCAGATTTTTATCCCATCTGAAAGCAATGAGAGGTGGGGAAGAGAAAATTTCTCGTGTGTCTGTGTCTGCGAGTAGTATAGAGTGGTTTTTAAGGAAAACATGTTTAACTATAAGATTGTGAGGGTGATAAGTGATAATAAATTTGGTCCTGTCAACATTGTCGCTCAGGCGTGGCCTGAGGGCATCAGCATGGGTAATATTCTTAACCCTTTGAAGGGCTGATGAAAGTATTGTCTCCGGGTAAGACCTACACCGGAAATAGTCTATCATTTCAAGTGCTTTGCCCCAAAAGTCCTCCTCCCACCGACAAAGTCGACAAAGACAAAGTAATTGAGAAAAAGGAATAGAGTCTTTACAGGATTTAGGGTGGGATGAAGAGTAGAGTAGATAGCTGTGGCTGTCAGTGGGCTTAAAGTAGGCAGAGGTGAGTAGGCTGTCTTTGTGAAGAGTGACTGTAATGTCCAAAAAGTTGACTAACGTTAACTCCATAGTAGTGACCCCTATACCGTCATCTATGTACCTCTTATAGAATTCAGGGAGGCCTCCAGTATAGCTGCTTTCGACCATGTGTTCAAAATGCCCCATGAACAAGCATGCATAGCTGGATCCCATCTTAGTCCCCATAGCAACACCACTGATTTGGTCGAAGAATTGGCCGCCAAACTCAAACGAATTGAGGGTGAGGACTAGTTCAGCCAATCTGAGGAGGGTGTTGGTGGGTATAGACGGATGGGGTTTAGTCTCTAGAAAGAATTTGAGAGCTATGAGACCATCAGTGTGGGGGATGGAAGTGGTTATTAACCCATTTTTCTTTGAATGTGCTTTTCAGATTAAATTTTTATTTTAAATCTGTGCTTTCCATGAAAGCAAATAAGAATTCTTTTAGAAATGAGTACCGGTACCATTTCACAAAAGTCAAGTTGAAAGTTATAAAAATTATTTTGTTCCCCAGCCTGTACAAATTTATTAGTGTGGTCTCCCAGGGGTTACCAAATCTAAATGTCACTAATTAAGACATTATTGTCATCAAAGGAGTATATTAATAGTTCATATCTGAGCTAGATAAATAATTTAGATGTCTTGTATTTAAGTTATAATTGTAAAACTTTGTCTTAATTAAAATTAAGAAACATTTTCATTTATTTGGATCAATAAAATAATTTTTTAATTTGTTGTAGTTTATTTTAGTTAAACTTAAGAAGTAAGTTTACAGACATATATTCCGTTAAATTATCTTTCATTTGATACCTCATTTTGTCTTAAACACCCAACAATAAAATGTTAAATCGTTTTTTAATCCCAACCTCTCACTTCTGGTACCCGGATACGAATAGCCACTTCGTTCAGGTAACCTTTTAAAAATGTAAACTAATATTAATATTCATTTATAATATTTGTTGACTATATTTTTATACTCTGCATGAACAAGGCAACACCTGAGGTCCCTCATCTGTGTAATCTGGACTGTCGTTTTGATATCAACAAAACACATGTAGCTGAAAACTGTCTAAGTCATGGTTTTGACATGATAAAGAGATGTTGCATTGATTCTACTGAAGACTTTTCTGTGGTTGATGTCATAGGGTGAGTCTGAAAACTATTATTCAGATTTTGTATGTTTGTGCCAACACTAATTCTTATGGATATCAATTTTTTAAATTTTAGAAGCGATTTGAAATAATCTGGACCTAATGCATTCACTGAACATTGTTTTATTTTTCATCTGTCTGCTTCCACCGTGGAGGCATCTTTGGAAAATTGTTTGAAATCTTTTTTCATTCTCAGCTGAATTTTTTTACATTTATTAATAAAAATAATAAAAAAGTATTTACCCAAGTAGGTTGCTGGTTTGCACCCAGGTCAGTTAGATGTCATGTCCTGTCACATTGGATTGAAAGTGGAAATAAAATTATTAAAATTTGCTGTGCCCCTATGAAGGAGTTGTTGTGCACAGGTTGGGAACCACTGGGCTTCGCATAAAGGACCACATTGAAAATTTATGACATATTTTAATATGCTTTGCTGTAACTTGGTTGAATTGTAGGTTTCTTGTCATAATTGTCCATAAAGTCAATTGAAACAGATGGGGGGTTGAAAATTCTAATTTGTACTTACACATGGTGGGGTTGACCAAAATGTATGAGTGCAACATGGGTATGAAAATTTGAATTTTTTGTTCACATTACATTAAATATGGATAGAATATTATTATATACGAAAAATGCATATTAAGCAATTTTGTCATTTAATATTCTATTTTTAATATTACTTTAAGATTTTTTTGTGTTACCATTTTCAATATTACAATATAATAAAGTCATTTTTATACAAATTATTTTCTTCATTTGGAAATGGGCAGCTCTTTAAAAAAAAAAAAATAGTTTTAATTATTCTTAGATGATGATATAAGAATGGGTAATGTGTTGTCCATTATATAATATTGTCCATTATATAATAAGCATATTAGTGTTTTAATTTACATTTATTTTTATATATATATATATATATATATATATATATATATATATATATTTATTTATATATACCCGGTATATATATATATTTATATATATATATACACGTGGTATCCTTCCCTATTCTCAAGGCAATGGAATAGCTATTGACACTTCATTAAATGGCTTATGGGGCAGATTCTGGAATGGCTGCCTCGGCTGCACTTCTCTGAGGAGAACCTTGACTCCTGGTTAAATTTGGCCTCGCGTAATGCTCTTTTTGTTGCAAGGGCTTTGTTTTTGTATGTCTCCTGCCTGTTTAACGCCTTCATACACTGTTCGTCAGCGGGAACTGGGTTCAGTGAAGATCTCCCTTTTTTTATTTCTATGTTGGCTTCGCTCATGTTCTTTTGCAAACATAAAATCACAGCCACAGCTGTCGAATAAGTCTTACCCCTTTTGACAACTCTCCATTCAGCAGATCATTTATGGTAGTATTAAAATAAGGTAAAAAATTGGTTAGATTGTCTTTTTATACTTATACTCATATGGAAGGAAAGCCTATATTTCTTATATTTCTTTAAATGATGATCATGTAAATTAAAAATTATTCCATATTGTTGTAGCATTGATTTGCAAGAGTGCAATATGACACAAGAGATCTTTTCTACTGGTATCATAGGGATTAACACATTACAGTACATGTAAGTAGAAACCATTCTTTAAAGTATGTGCATACTCTGTCATTGTTTAGGTAACAGTAACATTTTTTTATTAGCATCACATTCTGAGATATATACAAGTTACCATTTAAAAAATAAGAATTATCTCATAAAAAATAATGAACTGAATAAATTATAAAACATTCTTGATCGTGATTTTTGTACGCTTTTATGTGTGTTTCTTCTAAAAACTTTAGATACGGTACTCATATGGTTAATTTTGAATGATGCCTTAATTTTAAGTGTAAATGAACTTATGAGATAAAGATAGAATGCCTGCGTAAAGGAATATAATAGTACCAGTATCCAAAAGTCTTGTTAGCCATTTTTAAGTTTTATGTCATGTTTACAGCTCTTTGGAGGGAAATGATTTAAGCAGCTTAAATAAAACAGACTTCCACAGGAACACTGGGATCTTGTATCTGTGAGTAATTTTGGCTTATTACAAAACTTTTTTTTGCAAGGTTTATATTAGGTGGCTCAGAGAGGCTCCTGATTATTTAAATTAAAACAAAAAGTGGTCGTTGTAGATATAAGGTAATGCTTGTTCATTTTGAACTGCCAGAAACAAGTTTGTTAATTATGTTGATACCCGTATCACTTTTCAAAAGTTATTGTTCCTTACAAACTGCTGTTTCAAATGGATATTACTAGAAACTGATACATAATAAATTTTTCATTAAATTTTAATTGTTTATGGACATAATGTACCTTGAATTAAACAATGAAAGGTGTGAATGTTTTTATTTAAGCAACGACACATACTGAAAAATTACTGCATTATTACTTTTTTTAATATGGTCAAATGTTTTAGTTGCAACAATAAATCCATGATTGCACATAATTTTTCATGCAAACAAAATAATTACAAAGTTATTTTGAGGTAGGAAAGGTTTTATTGTTGTATTTTTAGATTTGAAGAAGGATAATTTATTTTTGATAGTTGTTGTCAACTTGTATAATTAAGAAATTATTTATATACAAAGTCATTTTTTATCACTTTGCAACATCATATTTGAGTTTCTATTCCAGTACAGTTATTTCTAGAGAGTGAAATAATTTTAAACCATTTTAAACTGTGAAACACGTCAAATAAAGTTTATGTGAGTCAGCTCTGTAGTATCATCTGTGAAGGCTACAATGCACCCATACATTGCGTCTTCATGCATCATCAATATAGCCATTGATTTTTTTTTTTCAATAATTTTTTCAGCTCTTTACCGAAAAATTTACAATGCTTTGGAAATCAGTCAGCCTGGGGAAAAGTAGTCTATGATAATCCTACAGCAACAATATGTTATAATGAGTCCAACCCATGTCAAACAGAAAATGGTAAACACAATTTTTTTATTTTATAGATAGATGATTCAATCTATTTTACCATTGAGCATGCTAGCATTGTAGGATTTAGAGGAACATATCTTGAAAAAGCACTGCAATGGCATTTGCAAACATTATAAATAGTTTGAGCAATAAACAAATGGAACATTTCTGACACTGTTAATTTATGTCTTATAACTACAAACTTTATCACTGTGTCATCCAATTTATTTTCAGTGACCTGTCCAGATAACTCTCACTGTGTGCATGCTGGGATTGACCTCATAGAATGTCTGTGTGATGAAGACTATCATGGGTATAAATGCATGAATAAGGTAATATCTTGATTTCTGCATTGTTTAAATAAAATTTGTATATGTGGTACAAAGTATTTTATAAAATCAGAATTTCCCAAATGTCTGGTCAATTCCCTGCTCTGGACCGCAAATGCAATATATCTGATGCCAAAATAAGGGAAAAAACTACTGAATCCTGTTGGGTTGTTTTTGTTATGCTTTTAGGTGGGGTCGCTCCTCTGGGTTTTGTTTTACCCACCCGAACTCATCCCGCTAATTCAGTTTACTTTAGCTGTTGGTATGCCGCAGAGCAATTGCCTGTCCACAAAATGCCATAGATAAAAATTATCATTACACCAACAAAAAAGATTATGACTTCAATTTTTCCATTAGTCACCTTGTAGTTGTAATGGCTTATTATGAAATTTCAACATTAATTGCTGAAACTCATCCTCAAACACATGTTCAGAGATGAATAGTTCCAGCAATGCAAAGGTTAGCACCTCAAATATATGATGAAAATAGGAGATTAAGGTGAAAATGTTGGTATTATCAAATAGCACAGTGCAGTGTGAAGATAGATCTATCAAAGAAGCTGTCCTTCTGAATTTCACACTGCCATTAACATGGTTTTTCTTCCTTGCAAGTCCATGAAAGTTCACAAATATAAGACAATTAGATTGGCAATGTGGTTTGTCTGATACGATTATTACAATACAACACATAAAGAATTTATCCATCATATACTTCTGACAAAAATAAACATCGTAGGAAAACTTTCAATTTGATTAATAATTACATCCATCAAAATGGCATTGATTGGAAGAAATGTGTTGGATTGAGTACAGATGGAGCTTGTGAAATGGCTGGCACTCATACAGGACACTGCCAAGGATGAAAGCTGTGGCATTACAAGATATTGTATGGGTGCTTTGTAGCTTTCACAGATAAGCTTAGGCTGTAAAAAAAAATGACATTACTTTTAACAGCAATTATCCCATCACGTATTGTTGACAATTTGTAAAATCTAGTCCAGTGGTTCTCAAACTTTCTTTAGCCACGGCCCCCTTGGTGATATAAACTCACACCTAGCACTCAACCACCCCCCCCCCCCCCCCATTATAACAATTACATAATGCAGAAAAGTGTTGATAAATCCAACCCATTGTACAATCCAGGACAAAATCTAGATATTTATTATAAATTATAAATACAATGAGCAGACTGGGATAGTGCATTCTGCAAACTTGTAAATTACAATATAAATTGACCTCAGATTCCGGTCCTTTACCATTTATAATACCCTTTAACTGACCCAGCTTTAACGTTTATGATTAGGCCTTAAGCGCACACTACGTTCCACAATAAAACACCACATTGTATAAGTTAAGAATATAGTGTAATTATGCATTCACTTTTTTAACGTATCCTTTCGGAAGGTTCTGTTAGCTACAAAAAACAAAACTGGTCCCAATTAGCTCAACAGTAATAGCTAGCACAACCCTCAATAGAAAGTAACTACACAACTAAATCTCAATGTGTAACATTTAGCAGAGTATTTCTTTTAATTGTACTTTCATTGAAACAGTAATGAGCTGATTACTGGGGAAAAATGATATGTCAGCTCTTTAATCTAGTATAATTACGTATCTAAGAGTATTATGTATCTAACGTTTTCGTTGGTCAATAACTCTTGATGCGATGTTTAGGCTTGGTAAAGTGGTTGCAGTTTTTCAATGCCTGGCTTAAATTCTCTCAGCAGAAAATTAATAAACCATGTTCTTATCATTGTTTGATGACAGCACTTAAAGCACCTTCCAACAATTACAATGTTGGGAATGAAACAACATGCTTTTTATCCAACTTCAATGGTGTAGAGTAGCTATAGAAATTTCTCTTTTGAAGTCAAAATATGGTGTCTTTCTTAAAATTTTGGCTTCTGCAAAATTAGCCTCTCTTCCAGTTCACCAACTGCCACAAATATGTAACAGATTTAATACACAATCTGTGATTTAGATCAAAATATTATTTGACTCCGATTGTCAAACGTATGTCACCTTTCTTTAAAATTTATAATTTAAATTAAAAATATTTATTCTTGATATAAATCTGTAGTGCCTCCTCTGGGAGCCCCAGGAAAACTCCAAAGCCCTCTCAATGCCCCCCTGAGCTATCCCACCATCCACTTTGAGAACCACTGATCTGTCTAGTCCAATTAATTTTTTTTTAAACATTGAGTCTATGATACTGTTGTGTGCTACACCACTAATACTCCATAGACATCTTGGACAGAACTCCTCCAATGGATTTTTGGTGTAATATCATCAGGAATACCAAGTGATAGTAGAATACATTTTTCATTTCTTTCTCATAATCTTAAATGTATAGTTAATAAATTATTTTACCTGCTTGTAGTAAAGTTAATAAATTATTTTACCTGATTTTAGTAAAGTTAATAAATTATTTCACCTGATTTTAGTATAGTCAATAAAATTATTTCACCTGATTTTAATATAATTAATAAATTATTTTAACTGATTTTAGCTTAATTAACTAAAGTTTTTGAAAGAGTGTATGGTTCTGTATTATAGTATATGAAACAAAATTATATTGACATTTAATTAAATCTATAGGCCAGAATTTCTTTAGTGGGTCCGATGACATACAAATAAAAATGACCACTACACGTGAAAAAAGTTTGGGAAACACAGTATCCAAATAATTATCCTCATTTTGGATTGTTTTCTTATTGCTTTGTCTAACTTCAGTAAAAAAAACAAGGATATACTGTTTATCAATTCTGTTACAACTGTAATTACTGTAAGACTCATTTATTTGATTACAATTAACGGAGAACAGATTATATTCCTAAAAATAGTTAAATGTGCATGAACAAGATATTTTTTTAATTTTTAAAGGGTTCTTCATGTCTTTTACAGGGAAAATTCCCAGTAACTCCATTTGCCATCGGACTTTCTATATCCACGGTTTTTGTGTGCATATTCTTTTGGTTTACGCAGCGGAGATATGTGAAAACCAGTAACAAGAACAAGTAATTTGATTCATTTGCTATTAAAAAACAATTTAAGTATATTCTGAATTTTTAAAAATAATGTTATCTTCATATAAATAAAGGTATAAATAATAAATATTGGAATGAAAGGTATTCATGCAGCAGAACAACAATTTGGTTTTAAATTATTTTCTAATCTGTAAAAAAAAAAGTTTGGTCTATTCATGCATTAAGTGTACCTGCATTTTGTTAAAATAAGCATTTTATGGAGGCTAACCAAGTCTGAAGTGATGTCAGATCACACCCAGCGATGTCTTGAGTGTTTATATCATTATTTTATTGATATCATTACACTATCCACAATATATTTGTTTATATTTGTAGAGAATCGTTATTTTTTAAAATCATTTTTATTGTGTATATCATATAAAATATAAAATACAGTATGTAACTTGTAACTAAAATTTTATGAATGATTTTCAAAACATCTCCCTCACTAAGAGTAAGAGTGTATTTAAAATTTCTATTGTTTTTCTGGAAATCTTTTCATACAAATTTTGACTTGTTAGAGCGCATGAAGAAGGATGTCATTTCATCATACTAATAAAATTATTTAATACTCATGTCTCTCAAAAAGCTTTGTAAATTAATGCCCATTAGACACTTGCAAATATGCCATACCAGGTATGTCTGCTGAGCATGCATGAACTTATATGATGTCTTAGCGCAGGAAGTTAGTCTAGTTTAAAACTGAACTACAATGATGTTCATCATTCCATATAATTAATTTTTTTCTTTGGCTATTAAATTTTATTTGAGCTTTATGAAATATTTCAACCTCTTTACGTATACATGTTTGATATGACATGAAACTATTCACATGATACACCCCCTTGCTCAAAACTAATGAAATCAATGAAGTATGACAAAGCAGATCTACATAAGAACCAAGACAGGTGAGTGAACCAGAAATTTTTGTGGTTACTCAATTTTATTTAGAATCATGGAAGAGTTGTTAGAGTCTATTAAGGCACATCATAAAGATTGATTGATAAACGGTTTTATCAGATTAGTTAAATTCTGAATTTCAATGGCAGGGCATCTCAGGTCCATGGTACAACTGGCAATCTCCAAAGCTGAGATCATTCCCCGGCTCTGCTATACTAAGAAATTAATGACAATTTATATTTCTGTTATATCCCAAGGCACGCTTTTTTTTCTTGGGGGGCCTCTAATTGTAGAAAAAAAAAGATTTTTAATGAAAGCTCAGAAAATTGTTTGCTAATTTGAGGTAAGGGGAAACTTTGTTAACAGCTGAAGGCCTAAAATCCTTTACTAGGCCTTAGTTTCCCATCTGCCATCTAGATGATAAGCTTTCCATTACCATCTTTATTCAATTCTTTAGTAACTAGCAATTCTGCACAACTAAATCAGATAAGACAACTTTCTGCTACAATGCATTATCAGTTTTTGGATTTGGGAATATTCTAAAAGTCTAGGTTATCTCCCTTTAGATTGATTTTTGTGTACTTGACAGAATAAATGACAATTTATAATAGGCGAGCTACACAACATAAAACTGGATTAGATTTTCTCTTTATTATTGTTCTGGAATCTTTAGGGTCTCCCTTTACTCTTTTTCCGACAGCCTCGATCTCAGGTCAGTCTGTGCTTACTTACAACTACCCCATCTTATATCCCTAAACATTCAATTTTTGTTTGATCTAATCCTTGCACTTAAAGTCCCAAGTTGTAAATTTAGCCCCTAATTTCTCCCTTACTCATCTGCCTAATGTGCATACCCTTTTCATTTCATATGCTCGAAGCATCTAAATTTCCATTTAGGAGTTTTAAAACAAATTATCTCTAACCATGCAACTGTTCCCTTGTGCATAACTGGACATAGAGCAACCTGCCTTGGAACATGCCAAGAGAGTAATATGATATTCAGAACTTCCAGTGTTGTGAATCCATCCCTGTGGTGCTACAGCCAATTTAGGGCTTTGGCCTGCCTCACCACATCCTTCCACTCAGACCTAACTATTGCTTTTCTTTTCCATGCTTGGATTCCCAGCTGCTGTAGATCTTTTTCCACATCATCCATCCATCTAAGCCTAGGTCTGCATTTGAGCCTTTTTCCTCTGGGGTTTTGATGATGTACCCTTTTCACTCCTCTGTCGATAAAGACTGTACAGTTCCTGGCTGGTTCGTATTTTCCATCCATCCATCATCCTTTTTTGGTCCGTATATTTTCACGGGACATTTTCTCTCCCCTGTGTTTAATAGGTTTTCTGCCATTTTTGTTAAGGTCCAAGTTTTACTTACGTATGTTACAACTGGTCTGATAACAGTTTTTTTTTTTAAGGTTTTTACTTTTACTTTTTAGTATTCTGAAATCCTTACCATCAAAAAGAGCAAGATTTTTTTACCCTGCAGTCATCTTAAAAACACAAGTGATTATAGAGAAACAATGAAACAAGAAAGCAGTTATATGTAACTCAGTTATACATCGACAAAAGATGTGTTTTTCAGACTAGACGTCCAATATATTTGGCTTTAGGATATGTCATTACAAGTTCAGGCCACTGGACCATGAAGTGGTCAGCAAAGTGATACAACAAACTCCCTGATAGCGACAGAGTTTTAACTCGACAGAAACTCTCAACATATACAATAGTAGTCTGTCCGGTAAACAACTGCAAAATGGAAATATCAATTTAAGTTAACATAAAATTTTGTCAAACTGGATATAATTGGTTTTTAAAATTATTAAGAAACAGTTGAAAACAGTATTGGGGATTGTTTCAAATTTTTGCTGCAACTCTATTAATATAATTATACAGAGACACTGTACTGAAAATGCCTAATTTCTTTCAATTTTTTAATTATCCTGAAAAGTGTGATATATTATAATGGACAAGTAAGGATCTATGATTCCTATTAATTATTTTCAATGTAGATTACTTTTTTCTTTCAAAACATCAAATATAAATGATAACCTATACAGCCTTTAACTTTAAAAGTATTATTGAATGCTATTTGAAAATATCTTAACTGATATTTACTATAATTTTATAACAATACCTTTAAAAAGTATCCAGCTACACAAATAGGTATACAAGTTCCTGGACCATTGCATAAAATCTGGGAAATATAAAAATAATTAGACGTTTGTTATCTTCCATAATGCAAAATTGTTTTTGAATATTACTATTACTATTAGTACATTATTTTATGAATGTTCTTTCATTTGATTTTTATTATTTATCAAGTTAGTTTTATAATTTTATTGATCTTTATGTGGATTTGGTATGCTGTTTGTTGCACTGTGGCAGTTCCAACCTTCTTAATGAGAAAAAATGTTTTAACTGAGAGCATGCATTTGTTATAAGATCATTTTCAGATTTTTGTTAATATAGAACAACAAAAAATGGTAAAAGAAATTTGGGGAATCTTTAAAACTCACTCATTTATTCAGAAAATAACATATTTTCTTTACTCACCACTTCAGGCCTTAGTTTAAATACTAGGGGAAAAGAGAAAATTAATGCTCGAAAAGTGCTCCAGACACTTGTCAAATAAGACTGTTTAACTTCACGACTTCGAGGAATTGTAAATATTTGATACTGAAAAAAAAGGGGCAGTTTTTTTTAACTGAATTGAGTTAATTAACTATTAAATTAATAGTCTTAAAACAGAAAATAAAGAGCCTTCAGTACTCTCTTTTGTCATTCAGTGAGGGTTTTACTAAGTCTAGCCTTAGAAAAGGCATGCATAAAACTAAAGTTTTGAAAAGAAATTGTGATGGCATTTATTTTCAGACAAAAATAGTTTTAAAAAATTGTGAATAAAATAAAGAATAAAAAAATTACTTAGCACATGAAGGAAAATGGCAAGCTGGGAGTTAAAGAAAAAATAAACATTAATATAACATATGGCATGTGATTGATAATGCTCTTAAATCATGTTATTAGTCTTATATGTGACTTAATATGACAATCATATTTGATTGTGATCATTCTTCTGCAATAAACTTTACTAACATATGGGAATCATGTTACAGTACTGTTGGATCAATTTTCAAATTATGAATAAGAGTAGAATTGAATATTCTGGCCACTGCATTCTTTTCCATACAACATCTGTTTCACTGCTGTGATAATAAGCCACAAGTCGGTTAAAAATACAGCCTATCAGGTCACAAACAATGAGTTCTTTTGCCTGGTTACATCTCCATTCAAATCAAATTAATGTGATGAGTAAATAACAGACACAAAAATGTGGGTGTCTGTGTGAGAATCAGGCTGATGACCTGAATTGAGTGTAAGGTGTGGTGATGATGAATACCTGGCTCAATTGCACTGCATTGCACTACACATGGTAAGTTCAATGATGATATTTAGTTTTAGTTTATAAAAGCAGATATTTTCAAATATTTCACAATAAATATCAACATATTTATAAATATACACAGATGAATAAATTAACTTTCAGGATATATAAGAGGTTCTTTTTTTTTATCCTATAGAAATTAAATCTGTTTTCTTTAATAAAGATTAGGGAAAATATATTATCACACATAGATTGCTTATTTAAATTCTGAAAAAACCTGGGCTATTATAAAAAAGGCCAACATTACCTTTATTTTATTCAAAATCTTTAAGCCACTTAATGAACTTTAAAAAAAATAATTTAAGTGGTCTGTTAATAGTTAACAAAAGAAATTATTTCATGTTAGAACAAAGGCCACACTTTTTGACACTGAGGAGAACGAAATTTAGATTATCTGGAGTCATTTTATGTTCGGTAACAGAAACTAATAATAAATAACTTATGAGATGAAATCTAACAACAGATCTGTGCTATCAGAAGTGGTTAATCTTTGCCCCACATGTGTAGGGCTTCTCACACAATTGCCATTGTAACCAGACTAATAATCACAAGTTTATCTTTAAACACTTTTAATGAGAATTTTGAAAAAAAAATTGTCTCTTGTTGGTATCTTTAAAAAATGAACTAACCTTAACTTGGGCCATATTTATTTATATAATCAATTAAAACCACCACAGACTACATTTTCATTTGGACAGTGATCACACATTCACAATCACTGAACTAATAAGTCAAGATTAGAGTTTCTATGATGTAATAAGCAAAAAGAATCCTACTTTGACCTCTTTACATCAGCTGTATGTGGATACCATAAATCACTTTCCAAAAGAACAGTGTGTCAAGACAGGTGGGCTTTTTAAATGTATGTGAAAGTTAGACATTATTTAAAAAATAAGATAGTATAACTTATACTGCCTATTTTATTTTTTTTACCTTCAGATGTAAGAATAGAACCTACTTAAATTGCATTAGGAGAGGGTTGCTTAACTGAAGTTCATCAGATGCAATGTGATAACACATCTGTTTTAAGACTACCAGATTGTTTTAGATGACCTCTTAATTAATGCTGTGTATATTTGTAGAGTTACAGTGTATGTGCCAAAAGTACCTACAGAAACTCCAGCATCTTGAACGCACACAAAAATTTGTCAATAGTGCATAACTCGAGACGCGGCGCATGGATCTTTCGAAAGAGAAAAAGTAATCATAGTTAACCATTATTTTCCCTCATTTGTAAGTGGTCAATAATTGGGACTACATTTGAAATAGTTGGCAAAACAATTCTGAAAGAGATTTAATTAGACAGTACCAATTAACACAGTAATGCTGTCTGTTGTTAGGAAATTTCGCCATTCTTGAAGTGTACAGTGTCAACAGGAAGGGGATCTTTAAATAAAGAATCATGCTCTCCAGCAGGTGGTGTATTTGCCCCTAAAATGTCTAATATTACCGTCCTTGAAACTGCACATGAACAATAACTCAGTTCAAAATTTTTTAAGGAAATTGGAACATTTTTGAACTGGATAGGACAAGGCTTGTGGAGCCAAATATGCCAGCTGGGATTATGTATTGTGAAACATTTTTGCCTATGTTTTATGAGGATTCAAATTTTTTTGGAATATGTAGTCTCTGACATAAGTTAAATTCACTTTTTGGTCGATCACTTCCCCTTCCATTGACACAGTATTTTTTATAAAACAGTGAAATTTCATATTGGTAAAAATATATTGCAACCCTGTGTTACTTAGCGGCGTCCTTTTAAATCTCTATTGGAATTGTTCTGCCAACTTTTTTAAACTCGGTCTCCATTCAGGACTGATATGCATGAACGAAAACAATGATCAAATATGAATAATTTTTCCTCCCCTTGTCCTTTGTTGAGAGACTCATTTACAACTACAAGTGCTTAACATGTCTTCCTTTTGACTTCTGGGAACACATGGTGACTGGAGCAATGCACTGATAAAGACCCACATACACGTTCAAGAAGCTGGAGGTTTAAGTACTCTTATTTTTCCCCATACTGTATTTTGTGCCAGTTCTATTCTGATAAATTTATGTTTAGATTAAATAAATAATATGGTATTTTAAAAAACATAAATTTCAAAGTCGCCAGTCATTAACTCACAACAGTAGTACCGGGTAACAAATTTGTCAATGTTAAAAGTTAGATGTCAGGAATTTATAATTTGATTGAGTACAAAATTCATTTTACCTATTTTTTTTTATTAATAAGTGTGTTTTATTATCTCTCTTTTGAGGTAATATTTATAAGATTACATAATTTTTCCTTTAATTATTTTTTTCAAAGTTAGAGCATCCTGTCACAGAGAATCTTCTGTAGTTTATTAACAAAAGAGATATATATAAACATGTTTATAAATAATGCATTTGTAGTGATCACTCACATATGAATTAGAGCTTGAACTGCCTTTTGTCTTTTCACACTGCTCAATTTTATGTTCACTCATGAGGTCTGTATCAGCTACAATGTAATAACGAGGCATGTAGTGATTTCCTAATGCTTTCACCAAGCTAAGAATTTCACTTGTATGGCCACCTGAAATATTACAAGTAAAAAATCAATAGACTTAACCTCTCTAATCGTATACACAGCTCATTGCTGCCCCTTAAAGGGCAAATAACACCTAAAGGATGAACCAGAATTAATAAATAAAAATGTTAAATATATAAAATTCACAAAATTCTGAAAATGTTCACAAGCCATTTGAAATATACAAACAATTTTTTAAAAACTTTATTCAGTTTTCTAAGTAAAAAATTTTTAATAGTAAAAATAGAGAATACACTAAGGATTTTTTAAACTAAAAATTTCTTTTGTGGATAAAAGTTGAGAATGCAGCATCATAACGATGTAAATTTGTGAGCTATTAATTTTTTAAAAATATTTTATATCACCAAGAGTGATTCAAAGTTCTTCAGTTCATACTTTTTCCGTAAATAATGACAATATTAATTATCCATGGCATATAGAAAAAATAATTCTCAACAATTTAAAAAAACATTTTTTGAGAGTACCACATTGTCCTGCATCTTCTGACATTCTATGTATGGTACATCAAATGATACAATAAAACTCAGAGCACACATTCAATTGTTATTCCTGTGCTAAAATAAAAACAGTGTATTCATTTATCATCTGATCATATAATCAGAGTGTTTGATTTAATTATATTTTTACATTGACACGTGTACTCGGATAAATAATAAATGTCTTTAAAATGCCAGATGACACTAAAAAAAAAAATTTGATAAGTTTATTAGTATTTCAGGGTTCAGAGCTGAAACTAACTCGTTTTAAATGTCCTAGGACAAAATCAAACAAATAAGAGGTAGAGAGATAATGCATAGATTATTAAACAACTTCCATTACTTCCAGCCACGAAAAAAGATTGAGTAGAAAGATCATAGTGGTGAATAGTTTGCATCATCAAAATTATAGTACATGCCTCATAATATATGGTTGTATCAATTATAAATGTGTTATGAATTACAACACTTCATTTTTAAGTTAATTAAGCTTGAACTTTGAGACTTTTTGTTTCATGAAAAATCAATTTTGAGTTTTTAAACATTCAGTATTATAAGTACATCATTTCTATATACCATAGGCACTATAACCTTTAATACTGTATACAGTGACCATTCATAAAACAAAAAAATGAAGTCAGGTATCTTGGGGGGGTGGGGTGGGGGTCATGATTTCCAGATTTTGAGTTTTTAAACATTCAGTATTATAAGTACATCATTTCTATATACCATAGGCACTATAACCTTTAATACTGTATACAGTGACCATTCATAAAACAAAAAAATGAAGTCAGGTATCTTGGGGAGGTGGGGTGTGGGTCATGAATTTATTAGGCAGAGTGTCTAGTCTAACTTTTGTGACACATTTTAAATGGAGTTATTAAGGTGGGGTGGACATGTGACAAAATTAAAATATCAAAGAATTAATAATTAAGAAGTCTCTGAATAAATCAATTAATTTTGAGCAAAGCATTAACGAAGTGGTTATGCGCAGCCAACTGCGTATAACCCTGAGAGTTATACGCAGTCGGCAAGTCACATGACGTCTATATTCTTCCTGTGTTACAGTATCAATCAATAAGGGTGCCTCGTTATTGGAGTGACTGGCTGGTCGAATGGTAAAAACTGACCAAACCTCAAGTTGATGGTCTGGAGTTCAATTCCAGCCAACAGTAACAGATAGCCATGAAAAGTGTTAGTTCTCGAGAATGAACCAAAAAATCAACTACGCTTATGTTTTACTTTTGTTTTGGCTAAAAAATGTTTAAACATTATAAGAATTACCTTGACCAATGTAATTTTAATAATGTTATGCTTATAATTATCATAATATATGTTTGTGTTGTTAACATATTATATTTTGTGTTGTTAACTAATTTTGTGGGAGATAAGATCATGTTTCTCTGGTACAGTAATAAATATAATCATGGGTGGAGAGCAGCAGTAAGTAAATCGCTGTAGGGGCAGGAGTTCTGTAGAGGGGGTACTATAAGTAATACTTTCACACAGTTATAGTTTTGCATGGAAGCTGAAAACTGTTATATTTTGGTCATAAAAAAAAAAAATCATAAATGATAAAAATTTTTAAAAAATAAATAGAATGTATTTCCTGAATTAGTCAGTAAAACCAACCACATAGTCATAGCAACATATAAAAACCTAATCAATCAGAATACATAACTAGACTTAGACCATGGAAATGCCTTTTAAAAAATCTTACACTTAGGCTTAGACTCTAAGTCTAAGAAATGTAGACTTTGACTTATAATTATAATATATAAGATACAAGCAATAATACTAATAATAGCACTAATAATACTATTGCTATCATTCAATTTCATTATTAATTAAAATTAATTCAATTACAATTGTACGTTAAACACATAAAAAGTTATAGTTCAAAACAACCCATCATGCGGCTAATTACGCATAATACTTTTTTTTTAAATTGCCAAACAAGCGATTGATAAACCTTATTTGGCTAAATTCCCAGCCGACTGCGCATAACCCTGAGAGTTATACGCAGTCGGCTGGGAATAACCCACAGGGGGCTTCCCAAGCATTAAATAAGGGAAGATGAGGTTTACATTAAGTTTTACTTTAAAAAAGTACTTTAAATTGACTGAAATAAAAAATGTCTCCTTGACATACAAATTTAAAAGCTACACTGCCTACAACGGGACCCTTGCCCTTTGGTGATTTGTGAATTCGTATAGAACCCAAGTGAATTTCAGTATCATCTCCTTAACCAGCACTCACTTATATAGCATGGGCTGCCAACTAAGGCTTACCTGATCCAACGACAATGAGAACAGATGCATTATTTCCATCACTTTTTGTTCGGTTAAGTAGTCGTCTTTGACGGTTCCTACTTTTACTTCTTGCGTTCATAATGGCAAAAATAAAAATAACTGTTAAAAATAGGCCTATCAAGTAAAAATAAGCCAGCAGCATTATTTATAAGAATATTCGTATTTCTCAATAGAATTTTCTAAAAATTACTTGCATATTAGCCCGATAGCCGTAATTAAAAACACATTCACAAAGTAGTGTGAGAAGAGAAGTAACAGGTCGTTTACTAAGCTATGGCTATGACTATGACTATGGTGGTGTTTTGTTTACGTTCTGAAGCTCTATAATTAGGGGAGGATACTCTATTAATTAAAATTTTTGTTAAGAAAGGGAGAATAAAAAGGTAATCTTAAGCTATTGCCAGGCTGGATATTGACTGTTAAGCGTTATTAAATAAATCGAAATGCTGGTATTGATAATTTAAAGACTTACTTATTGTCACTATTACTTTAAATAAATTATTCTTAAAAGATAAGCATTTTACTTTCACATTTTAATTAACTAAGTCAATATTATATTACTGGCTTGTACAAACTAGCAAATCTTTAAAAAAGGGAAAGTGGGATTCGGTCTGTCGGCAGTCGGCATCAACATTAAACATAAAGTGATCATTAAACTAAAACGTATAGTCCGTATAGTCACAATCCACTACTTAATTCATTCAGCTATTTGAAGAATTGAATAACTTTTAAGAAACATTTCCAGATTCTCACCTTCACAATGTAAGATTTTAATTAGCCTCTTAAAATTAACCAGAATCCTTGGTATAAAAATTATAAAATACACTTAGTGACTTAGTGTTACTCCTTACTCCTAGTCTAGTCCTAGCCTAATAAAAAATAAGAATAATTAATTAATTAATAAAAACAATAATAATGTGAATAGTAATATTATAATATTAGTAGTCTAAGTAGTTAAGGCTAATGCTTAATACTTATTAGTAGGCCTAATTCTAGTAAAAGCCTATAATGCCTATAATTATAAATAAAAGGCCTACCAAAAGTTAAAAGTAAAAGGCCTAATAATAATAATTTAACTACTAAAATCTAAAATACAAAAGTCTAAATGCCCTGTGTTTTGTCACCATCATCAATAATCAATATTTTGTCAAATAATATTACTAATATTATGATTACTCAGTGATTACAATCAGTGTTTCTTCCAGACAATTGGGGGGGGGGGGGGGGTTTTTAGGGGGGGAGGGGGCTAAGCAATGGCCTCATAGCTAATGCCATGGGGGCAGGGGGGGGGAACGACAAATGTCCACAGGTGCCAAACTAGCAGGAGTGCCAATATGGGCTTTGATGTATTTAAGGGATGAAAATGGGTTTCAGTTTTGGGGGGTACAATACATCTAATTACCCTTGCGCTAAAAACTGTAGCTACGCTTCTGCCAGTGGTGAATAAATGGGGGCAGATGAGGTTATCCACACAGTTGTTACTTGTTCTTTATTTGGAGGTGTGGCTTTTTCGGACAACTGCATAGTTTGTATTGTAAAAGGAAGTGCGCCAAATATCTTGTCCCGGCCATGGCTGCACTAATACTAGCTATGCCACTAGGCAGTGTATCCCCAGACAATTTGTGACTATTTCAGAATCAAGAGGTGCATTTTGGAGTATACCTGAATTAAATGTTTCTATTAGACCTTATGATCTGAGGAAGGAACTTTTTAAGCGATGGTAGAGGCATTATGGTGCCCAGAGCCATACATTAACTGAATTCATTTCGGCTCTGGCGTGCCCCAAGAGCAATCATTTGGCACAAGCTTAGATTCAACCCCATACTGTAACCCTGATCAGCGTAGAGAAGGGGGGTGCAGAAATTGAGGGTGCGAAGACTGCCAGGCATATTCAAAATGCAAGGATGCATTCGGCATCTACTTTAATTCAATATGAACTTTCAGATGTGTTGAAATCGGCACATAATAATTTTATTTAGCTTTTCACCAGCCATATATGTACTAACAGTACTTTATTATTCCAATAAAAACAATATGTATATGTTGGAGTGAGTCAAAAGGTTAAGTTGTATTTTTACAGTCTTAAAAACCCCAAGTTTAAAACAGGGAAACCTCTTTTTTTTCAATTATTTATTTCTTGATGATTTGTTGTTTTATTAAACGTTTTTTTTTAGTCTGTTTACATCTTTTCAATTTTTAATAATTGCCATGTATTGCTAAATCTTTTGTCAAGGGAGGTCTTTCATTTTTTAAATAAAAATTACACTACTTTTTTTTACTGACAGGATAATTTCAAGTTTTCATTATTTTTACAATGTACATTTTGTTTTAAAAGGAAAGATATTGTATTATCGCTCATTCCCTCCATTAAATATACAAATACAATAAGTAAAGTATTCAATTGGTCTATTACTGATTTCATTTCTTTATAATATGCTTCCCCTTTATGTAAATTTTATTCATCAACAACAATTTGTAGCACCATCAACAGTATCAAATGCATTTCCCATGGCAGCAGATGATTCAGGACTTTTTGTAACCATTGTTTGCAGTTTGAATTTTACTTATAATGATCATGTGCTGAAAATCAGTATATACAACATTAAATGAAGTCCTTAGAGCTTAGCATTTCAATTTTTTTTTTCTTCTGATGACCCTATTATCTTAAATAAAATTAGACAAAATATTGTTGATTTATACTGAATTATCTCTCCTGTTTTGATTGAGATACAAACAATTTATGTAAATAAATCAATATATGTTAAGCTTTAATTATTATTACAAAAAATACTAATTCAAATGTTTTTGCAAATGCCTTCAATAGTGCAACAAAAACATTCATATTAGTATAAATTAAATTTATATTATATATATCCTACCTATACCTTAAAAGAAAAGAATAAGAATGGGCCCTAAGGAAAACAAAGCTCAGAAGAAAGGAACGAAAGTGGGAAAAGTACAATTTAAATCAAAACAATAAAAATATGTTTACAGTCAAATTGAATGTCTATTTTTTAAACAAAAGTATTTTATTCATATATTTTAGTACATATTTTATTAACTATGCATACTTATACCAATTTTTATTTTAAGTTGTTTGTATTTTTTAATATAATTTTTAAATCAAGGATACTTCATCTTTAATGTGAGGTGAGAAGATGGGTCGTCGCCTAGACAACCTTTACTTTGATACTACATATTATCCTGTGGCTGCATTCAGCTGTGCTTTTTTTCTCTACCTGTATAGGTAAAATTTAATGTTATCTCAATGGATGCAAACATTTGTCTTATAGCTATACTAATAACTCTCATAAGGGCATTTGAAGCTGAAAAATGGCACATGAGAAGGGATGCAAAAATATTGTCTGTGTGCTTCATTTAGTGAATACCACAGAAATTCTTTACTCTACCATTCTCAAGTGCCGTTTATGTGTGATTTTTTTAAGGCTAAATTTAATTGTATAATGGACTTTTATCTTCATTCTCTTATATATATACTTATTTTATGTAATTATCACCTTTCATGTATCAATTAGTAAATAATAATTTGTATATTTTGTTAGGTATGTAAGCCCAAAGGTATCATCTAAACTATGTCCAAAGTACAACCTCCTGACAGATACAGAACAAGTGGACTGGAATACCAGGTAGCCTATTTCTGGCTTTTATGAAAATTTGTAAATACAAATAAAGATTAAGAATTTTTAAAACAATTATAAAGAAGGGAAAGTTCAGTTTATATTTACTTTTTTGTACATAACTACCATCTGTATGTTCTGCCTTCCCATAAAAGAAACAAAATCATCAACTTTTGGGGCTGTTAATGAGAAATATATGAAACTTTAGTGAAGCAAGATGGACTGGATGGGGACAGAAGAGATTAATCTCAGGAGAGATGGTGATATTTTCGGGACACGAAGAAGACAATGCCCCACATACCCTGGGTGTTGCTATGATGCTATCAAGGGCAGCACAAGGAGCACTCATTGGATGGGAGGCCCATGGACCTAGAATTCTTTTAGCAACCTTTTGAACAAAGAAACGTAGCATCAACCTAGATGTTATACAATGCTACGCACCAACTAATGAAAGTGATGAAGGAGACAAAGAAGAATTCTACAATAGAGTAATGACCATAGTCCAGGATCGCCCACGGAGGAACATCGTCATCCTCATGGGAGACTTTAATGCCAAGATCGGCAATAGCAACACAGGGTACGAAGAGGTTATGGGACAGCAAGGGATAGGCGAGATGAACGACAATGGTGAGAGGTTTGCGGACCTATGTGCCACAGCTGACCTGGTCATAGGGGGGAGCATTTTCCAGCACAAGAGGATTCACAAAGCTACATGGGTCTCTCCGGACATGAGAACGATGAACCAAATAGACCATGTATGTATTTGTAAAAAATTCAGGCGATCTCTCCAAGACGTACGTGTTAAGAGGGGAGCTGATATTGCCTCAGATCACCATCTTCTTGTGGCCAGGATGAAATTAAAACTAAAGAGACATTATACCGAGCAAACAGCATACAGGACTCGGTATAATACCTCCCTCCTGAAGGACCAAGCCAAAAAGGAAGAATTCAGAATCTCACTATTCAATAAGTTCCAAGTCCTACAAGAAATACTTGAAGATGAAACCACCGAAGGAAAGTGGCAAAGCATGAAAGAAACAGTCCAGTCAACATGTCAAGAAGTGCTAGGAAACAGGAAAAAGGCACACAAAGAATGGATGACAGCAGGTACGCTGAATAAAATAGAAGAAAGGAAAAGAAAGAAATCAGAAGTGAATAACAGCCGCACCCGAGCACAGAAAAACAAGTCCCAGAAGGAGTATGCAGATGCAAATAAGGAAGTTAAGAAAAGCATCAAGAGAGACAAGAAGGAATTTGTTGATAATCTTGCTAAAGAAGCAGAGGATGCAGCCCACCAGGGGAACATGAGGGAACTGTTTGATACCATTAAGACGCTGTCAGGGAAATTTAGCAAGGTAGAGAGACCAGTGAAGGACAAAATGGGAAACACCATACCAAGTGAGGGAGATGGAAGGAGCACTTTGAAGAGCTCCTGAACAGGCCTGAACCAAGAAATCCACCAGATATCCAACCAGCCGATAATGACCTGCTAATTGACTGTAATAGTCCCACCAAAGAAGAGATTAGCAGGGCCATTAAACAACTCAGAAATGGAAAGGCTGCGGGACCTGATGGCATCCCAGCAGAGGCACTGAAGGTGGATCTGGAAACCAGTGTGGAAATGCTACACCCTCTGTTTATGAAGATATGGGAAGAGGAGCAAGTTCCTTCCGATTGGAAAGAGGGATACCTTATCAAGATCCCAAAGAAGGGAGACTTAAGCTCCTGCTCGAACTACAGAGGGATCACCCTGCTGTCCATCCCAGGAAAGGTTTTCAACCGTGTACTACTTAACAGGATGAAAAACGCTGTAGACCCTCTGTTGCGGGACGAACAAGCCGGCTTTCGCACCAACAGATCCTGCACGGACCAGATAGCGACACTGCGCATCATTCTAGAGCAGTCACTAGAGTGGAACTCGCCGCTCTATGTCAACTTTGTTGACTATGAAAAAGCCTTCGACAGTGTTGACAGGCAAACCCTGTGGAGATTGCTAAGGCATTACGGGGTGCCACAGAAGATTACTGATATAATCAGAAACATGTACGAAGGGATAAACTGCCGAGTTATCCATGGCCAGCAGTTGACAGATGCTTTCCAGGTGAAGACTGGTGTGAGACAAGGTTGCTTGCTGTCACCATTCCTCTTCCTGTTAGCCATTGACTGGGTGATGAAAACATCTACACAGCAGAAAAGAAATGGCATCCAATGGACCTTGTGGGATCAACTGGATGATCTTGACTTTGCTGATGATCTTGCACTTCTTGCACATACCCAACAACAGATGCAGGAGAAAACAAACATTGTCGCAGCCACTTCTGCTAGCATGGGTCTCAACATTCACAAAGGGAAGAGTAAAATCCTCAAGGTTAATGCCACCAGTACATCACCCATTATGCTTGAAGGAGAAGCCCTTGAGGAGGTGGACAGTTTTGTTTACCTTGGCAGCATGGTAGATAAACAAGGTGGTACAGATGCGGACGTCAAAATAAGGATAGGAAAAGCAAGAGCAGCCTTCCAACAACTCAAGAATGTTTGGGTCTCTAACAACTTAGGCAGCAAGTTAAAAGTAAGGATTTTTAACGCTATGGTAAAACCTGTGCTGCTATATGGAGCCGAGACATGGAGAACAACGGCCGTAAACCTGACCAGAATCCAGTCCTTCATCAACAACTGTCTAAGAAGGATTCTCAGAATTCACTGGCCAGACAAAATCAGCAACCAGGAACTGTGGCAGCGGACAAAACAGAAACCCATTGAGGAAGAGATTCTCCAGAAGCGGTGGAGGTGGATTGGTCATACACTAAGAAAACCTGCTTCTAACACAACAAAGCAAGCCCTGAAATGGAACCCACAGGGTAAGCGGAAAAGAGGCCGTCCAAGAAACACTTGGCGCCGAGAATTGGAGACAGACATCAAGAAAATTGGCCATGAATGGAAGATCCTGGAGAAGCTGGCCCAGGATAGAGATGCCTGGAGGTCTCTCGTAGGTGGCCTATGCCCTTGGAGGAACCGCAGACGCCGACGATGATCAGTGGATGCCCCTCATGGACGAGAAGGCTCAACAATATAGAAACTTACATATTATGAAGCAAAGTATTGTGGCTATGTGATTCTATTTGTAATTACAGTAGTGCTTAAATTTTCTGAACTAATTAGGAACTGGTGTTTGGGATAGCGATTTATACGGATTTCCGGACATGTCCACGAAAAGGTTGCTTTTATGATGTTAGTGCAAAGAATGCCATTTAGTCTTACAATATAGTTATAAATTTATGGTGCTTTCTTGTACAGTGTATTAACCATACCATACAGTGTATCGAGGTCAACTGATTGAGGTCCAAAAATTGTTGAAGACTGAATTTTTTTTTTTTTCTGTGACAAGAAATCATTTCCAAAAATATATCACTGACGCTTAAAATAAAATTTGAGGTCACTATGTTCTTTATAGCCATGCATTCTGAGATATATATTACTTAACAAGTTTGCAGATCACATTATCACAGTCTGGTAACTGCATGTACAATAAGTATCTATTTTTTACCTGGATTGTGCCCAAGGGATTGGTATTGTTTTCAGGTGTTTGTACTTAAATGCTTCATGCCAAGCACATGGAAAATAGTAATAATATTTATATTAAACAAAAGGGGTTACTCCGATAACCTATGTTTATGATGCATTAGGAAAATTGATGGTCTACTGTATTATTTATAGACCTTTTTATATTATCCTTTCCTCAAACATATTGGCAGTTTGGTTACATATATAAGTTTAGAGGTGATTTTTAAGAAATGCCATTGTCAGCATTGGCAAAGATGACCAAATTTTTTATTTCAATTTCCTTTTGCTAGTAGTTGGGAGTCAAGTAAACATTTATTTACTTTCTAATAACTTCTTCCAATTAAAATTGTTTCTAGGACACATTGTTTTGATCTCTAATTTTATTTCCATATTTCCAGGATAAATTCCACAGTTCATTCTGTTGTAGTCAGCTGCATGTGTGCTTATACTATGATTTATGATGATGAAATTGCTGAAGACCCTATTTGGTAAGTGAATACTGACAATAGACCGCCAATTGTTTGTCTCATATCAAACTCCCCTGTTATAGAGAGCTTGTTTACATAATATTTCTCGTGCGTGCCCTATGATTGACCCCGCATGAGACGCTGTGTTCACAAAGGGGTGTGGCGTAGTCTTTTGATCTATTCGTGTTTATGCCGCCAACCACTAAAAATAATTAATCTGTTCCAAATAGTATTTTGTAGAATGAATGGGATGGTTCTAGAAATGCCATGTAGCTTATCGAAGGCAGGGCTTAGGCGTCGGTAGACCCACCTATATAAGGGATTGACAGGCACGGACGAGAGGACGGAGATTTCAGAGAGATTTTCTTAACATTACGAGGCGTGTTTTATTCTTTGTGTATTTGTGTGCTCATATGTGTTTATTTCGCATTATTTATTGGCACATTATTCTAACTGTGTTAACTGTGTACCGGTACAAGATCTACCATACTGTAAGTTGAAGATTGTAATTATATTTTTATTTTATTTTGTAATTATCTTAAGACTTAATAAATCTTAATTAATTATAACTAGAAACTGTTTTGGGTCGTATCTTTAATATTGTTGATTCTATGGTATCGTCCTTTGTTAGGCACTGCTTACAACGAGCCAATTAAAATTAAAATAGGAGATTAATTTCTCCCAATACAAGTCATGTTTTGGGTCGTATCTTTAATATTGTTGATTCTATGGTATCGTCCTTTGTTAGGCACTGCTTACAACGAGCCAATTAAAATTAAAATAGGAGATTAATTTCTCCCAATACAAGTCAGTGCGTAACATCCCCTGTTTCAACTTAATGATTAGGTTTATTTTACTCATGGCTTACCTCCTACCCAAGAATAAATGCTCCTGCTAGATGAAACTATTCCGCCCAGCTAGTAGCCTATAGCTATGGACAACCCTAGATGTATTTGCACCTACAACACCCATTTCAATTTCCCCATAGGGCTTCCAGCCAAAGCATTCAATCATAGATGTGTAAACTATCTTAAAAATTGTTTAATCATTTATTGTTCTAGAGCTTGTATGGTTTTTCCTTATCAAAATATCAGAATTTGAAGGAATTGATAATCATTAGAGGAGTTGTAGTATGTAGTTTATTTTTAAAATTGTCATCTTATGCCCTAATAAGAATGGCTGTGTATCACTGTTAACAGGATTGTGACACTGATTTTTTCTGCTGCTGTTGCACATCAAAAGATGTGCTCTGACCAGAAAGTATAAAAATCCATGATCTGGGGCTTATTTCTACATTCATCTGAACCCTTTTTATAATTATAGGACATTAGCGGTTTTTTATATTATTTTATTCAAAGTTAATCTGTCTGCATTTCTTTAATTGTGATTGAGACATTATAGTTCTTTCAGTGTGTCATACTTGACATTGGAATATAATATGTTTGAACAGGTGGGACTCCCCTTTGGTTAGGACAAGCTGTGCAATAGTAGCTGGATATATGACATCTGGTAAGACTCATTTTTTAAGCATGAAAATTAATCACTAGAATTTTTAATTTTTCAACCAACCAGCACAAATTTTAAAATGCTGAACTGATAAATAAATGTGGCTTTCAATTTCATCAATAATAGGAATAATATCATGGTCATAAATAATTTTATTGAAGATTTTAACATCCTCAATATGTTATATGGAGAAGTACACATGTATCATTCTCCCTCAGATGTGATAATTATGAGTATTCACTACAAACAAATAGGAGAGGTCTTCTATGTTTTACATCATGGGGCATCTATTTATGCTTATTACTATGTCATGGTAAGTACAAAAATTATAATTTTTCAATAAAATTGTTAGGCACACAAAGAAACTTACTCCTAAAACTTAGAATTTCTTTTTATTCCTAACACCTATAAATTTACACTAATTACCCACTTTTACCTTTGTATCTAATGGCTTCTTTTCATCATGAAGTCACCAATTACTTTTGTGCAGATTACTCGCTGTAGTCTCTATTAAATTTTATATACCTAAACAAATTTAACAAATCCCACGGTTGTGAAACTTTTTGGGGATCTTGAAGGGGTATAAACATTTTTTTTTAAGGTTATTGTGGGCAGGTAGGTTAACAGACAATACAAAATAACCCAATCTTTCAGTAGAAATATAGAAATCTACCTCTTTTTTCCCCTTCCTAATGTATTCTAAAAAATAAATTTTCTTTAAGGGGTTTGCAGTCAGAAACCAAAGATACAATGTCTAGCATTAGCATAAGTGATATTTGACATATCCATAATATTTTTTTATCTATAAATTTACTGACACTTTATCATACTTTTGATAAATTACTAAATATTTTTCAGACTTACGGTGTTTTACCCTACTTTGCTAACTATCGATTAGTTGCTGAATTTTCAACACCATTTGTTAACCAAAGGTACTACAGGATAAAGATATCAAATTACTTAGGAATGTAACTTTATCCATCTTAACTCTACTGATATTATCTCTCATGTTCTTAAAACTTATTCATACTATCCTTGGTTTTTTTTTTTAAGCCTTCACATAAATCATAAATATCTGATGGTGATTGACACTTTTATAAAAATTTAAATAATTTTAAAACATTAACTGAAAAACTTATCAATTGTAGACTTATACTTGTTCAAATGAAGAGTCTCCAAGTGTTGCCCTTTAACTTGAATATTGGAATGAAGCTGTGATGGAATAGAACTTAGTACGCCTGTATATTTGTTTGTAACTATGGTGATTCCCAAGTTTGACTTTACAGGATAAAAGAACGTTTTGGGACCACCAGTTTAGATAATAGTAATGGTTTCAAAACTAACCTTTCTATTAACTTAACTTCTATATATCTTAAGGGCCCACGATCAATTTATTTTACTTTTTCCATACCGGTATTATTCATATTTTTGGCCTAATAAGCAGAAATGTGGTTTAGCTATGAGATTTTAAATGTAATTTAAATCAGTCTCATGATACTGACAACCAATTTTTGTTTTCTCCTCAGGTGGTTCCTTGCACAATTGGGTTATGACAAAACAAACGTTATTTTTGTGTCCAACGGTGTAGCCATGGCCGTGACATTTTTTATTGTTAGGATTGCCGTCATGCCATCCTACTGGCACCGTGTTTACACTGTCTACAACACACCTGCATTTAATAGGCTTGGATACATACAGCTCTGTCTCATAATTCCATGCATCATTTTGGATATCATCAACATTTATTGGTTCTATAAAATATGTGTTGGTGCATATAGAATCTGTTGCATGTTTTTTGAAAAGGAAAAACTTGATGGAAAATCTTCTTCTGGGTCCAAACTTTTTAACACAACATTTAAAAATTTATTTATCAAAACCAACCATCCTGTAAGTCACAAACACATTGATTAAAAAAAATCTAAAATAACTCTATTAGAATTATTTGATTCTTTATGTTATTGTGAAACACTTTTGACTTCAACATTGAATATTTAGTAGATATGTAAAATGTAAAAGCTAAATTAATGTTGCTGAATTCAGTTGAATCCCATTTATTAAAAATAGCTGCAATAATAACTCTGAAATTTATGTCAATGAATTTTACTGAAATGTAAGAATGCTTTAATATAGACATTGAATTCATATCCTCAACTGAATGCATATCATTCTACTTGTAGAAAATACTGAGATTTTAGAAAATGAGATTAGAAGGTTTTAGTTTCATAGATATAAAATAATACGAACAGAATAAGCCATGCTGGTTTTTTTTTAAAGAAACAAAACAAAAAACAAGAGAGTATGAAAAGAAGAATTGCTATCTGAAGATGTAGCATCTGGAAATCACCAAGTGAAAGAAATTGCTCTCTGTGTACCTCAGTGATCATACAGTTTTTAGCTTCCCACAAAGGAACTATTACTTTAGATGCAGTGGAATCCAAAAATGAATAAATAGCAATCATACACTAACTATCTAAAGACATGAAACTATAATAAATGAAGCTGGTCTGTAAATTTAAAATTACTAAACACATGTAAAATTGAGTATAGAATTTGCTTAAGAATTTTTAACCGTTAATAATTGGCTTTGTTGGGCAAATTTTTTTAAACAACGTGGAAAGTAAATTTTTATTTTCCTGACTCTCCTTTATGTTTATTCAATAAAAATCACAGGCAAATCATTTTTATGATAAATTTTTAAATTGTGGAATGGGGTTCATTTATAATAAAATTAGTTAAAATTATTTCTGTAATGAACAATATAAATAAATCGGTCTGTAATAAATCGTCATTTCTAAAAGTCTACTAAGAATTTTGCAGTGCCATACAAAATATTTTTTAAAATTTATTCAACCATCTTTTGGCACATCATACCAAATTTATACTTGCTCTTTATATATTATTGCATTTTGTGATTTCTACGAATTGTGGCTTCTTGTCAGAAAGATTTCTATATTTTTATCCTTACTTTTTAACAAAATCATGTTAGAAACTTTGGGCAACTGGTAATTGAAACTCTACCATTTTATTGGGTTGATCTTGTCTTTGTCAACCTGTTGGATTCAGTTTGATAATTCTATGTGATAAGACATTCAGTGCTAGTGAACATGTATATCACTGTTATCTATATGAAATTGCAAGGATCGATTTCCAGAAATATCAATGTCATATCACAAGCTTTTGACTGGAAGATCTTCTATATACCTATAATTTATAACCTAAGTATACTCCAAGCAAATTCAGCTTAGTCATGCATTTATTAAGTTAATTTCCACAAGTTGATTGTAATCAGCAGACCTAGTGGTTACATCTTTGGCTTGTATTGAAAATATATATGGGCATAAAATAAAATAGTCCTATGAACTTGATATTGTGGTGATTCTAATCTTTCGTCAGACTAATTTTGTTGTTTTCCCTGGTTATACAACTTTGTATAAATTTACACTACTCAACAATAGCATTAAAATTCACACCGCTAAAGTTCATTCCCAAAAGTTTCCGGTTTTATATACCAGTCATTTATTCTCTATACTTGACTGTTATTTCTTTTCTTAGTAGATTATTTTTAAGGTATGTTGATTTTTGAAGGAGAAGGAAAATGTGTTTTCAAAATTGTGTTAGTCTTTTTCACCTCACCATATGAAAGTTGAAGTTTTATTTCTTACAGCCTCAATATTAAATTAGGTGCTTCAATTTCTATGTAAAGAATCAGAATAATTTCAAGGTGTACAAAATAATTCCTTAAATTTTAGTGGGGGAAAAAAAAGGATTTGTATTGTAAAATCAAATATAGATTTCTTTTTAACCACGCAAAAAGATGGCTAGGGAAGGAATGTGGCTAAGGTAGGAATTCATTTCTTAACTATAATAATAATTAAATTTTCAATATATTTTTTTCAAAAAACCACATCTATTTTTTAATGCAAGTTATTTACAGATGAATTTTTACAAAATTTGGAAAACTCATTTTGTATGACAATTCAGTTTTAATGAGATGCTTTGCCACTGGGGCTTGCAAGTTAACTTTACAATTTAGGCCTTTTTTTTTTAGATTATTAAAATGGGCTCTGAATCGGAGTCACTTATGTGTTTTGATGCATCAACAGGCTTATAATATATTTAAAGTATGGTATTGATGAAATATGTGCTACCGTACTGATCGTTTAAAACAAGCCTGCATGACATACAACCATCAGGGCAGAATGTGACCAACCAGCAATTACTCTGCAGCCCCTGAAGCCTCTTGTAAACATACAATGAGAAATTTAAAATCATATTCCCAAGGTTTTAGATTTATAATATAAAAGTAGACATAAGAAATGAAAATCAATACTTATTTTCATTTTGAATATTTTTTTATTTTTTAGATAGGGTATTATAGATATAATAATATTTTCATAATAAATAAACTAACTATCCTTTTTTTTAAATTATTTACTTGATAGCTTTACAACCTATCCTATTTTCTTGCACCCAGCATGCAGTTTTTACTTGATGTAATATGGCCCTCATCATTTTTTCGAGTTATGCCTGGTTTAAAATTTAATTGACAAGAAGTATCCAATGCAAAGTCAGGCAGTGTAAAGATATATACAGAAGAGTTATCTTTAGTCTTTTCTATCTCATGAATTGATAAATGCAAGAAATGATACCTACTTTAAGAAATATTGTTATTGTTAAGGTTGTAAACAGTACCAAGTAATAAAAATGTTTAATATTTTGGCGTTTTAGAAAGCTTTAGAGCCTTGTACTTGTAACTTATATTATAAAATAGCCAATTAAATTTGCAATAAAACATATTTTGGGTACCGTATGTAAATATACGAATTTTAAAAATCATATACTGAGTTTTCAAATCTTGAAAATTGATAGATGATTTAAGCAAGGAGGTAAACATATAGTTTAATTTAAAGGAGATAAAGACAGGTTAAATCAATTACCTATTTTACATGCAATGACTGTCATTTTAACAACAAATCTATCTTTTACTAATAACGTTTTGTTTATTAGTTTTCTTTTTTTTTCACCAGCTCAAATATGTAGCTTTGTATTATTACTTTGAAATTGAATCTGCACTTTTTAAGGAAGTAAGTAAGACATGTCCAATCTTCTGTTCATTAGATAGGACTACTATTTTAATAAAACACACCATTTTCAGAGCTACAGGTATCTTATTTTCAAATTTTTTTTTTTAATCTGCAGAAAGATTTCTTATACATACTTTCACTTTCATTAATTTCTGATTTTCTTCTGACACCTAATCCTTAAACAATGTAAGAATATTTTTTTTTTAAAGCTATACTGAAACACAAGTGTAAATGAGAACAAAATTGCTAAAGAAATCTACATAATACAATGCAAATATTTTCTTTTAATTTTTTTTTTTTTGGTTTTATTTGTTGAATTTCATGTAATAAAAAAGATTGTTTTCAGTTTCTTGAATTTACTTTGATTTTTAGAATAGTATTATATGGCCATCCATAAATGACAATATGTTATTGAGTATAATTGAGGCTTTTTTTTTTGTTTTTTACATCCCGCTGTAATAAGCATTTTCCTTATAGTAGTTATAGACTGACATTTTTTAAACAAAGACACAGCTAAATTTGAATTTTCCTAAGAGTAACTTCAAATTAGTAATTCTGCTAAAATATTGATAAGTTAATTTCTGTCTATCTCTCTGAACTGTTGCTTCCTTACATCCCCACAAGACAACTACGCTCTTCCATTGACAACAGAACCCTCTCAATCCCAAGAACCAAAACTAAGACCATCGGTGAACGCTCCTTCTACTTCCATGGGCCCACGTTCTGGAACCAGCTCCCCTTCCATATCCGTCATTGTGAAACCTCGTCCACTTTTAAAAAAAAAGTCCCTTAAAACCCATCTGTTTAGGTCCGCCTATGACCTGTGATGCACCCTCCTTGCCCTGCCTCATTTTCTGTCTCGGGTTAATCCTGTAATATAGGCCAAAACGTGCCAAAGTGTCCTCGTTTTATAGCCATTTTAATTGTTTCTATAGTATAGTAGTTACTATCCTAATATCTCATTTTTATTTTAGTTAGTTTACATGTTTTTAATAATTGTAAAGCGCTTAGAGCTTTAAGGTAAGCGCTATATAAAAATGCCTAAATAAATAAATATACTAGGCGACCCGCGGCGTATGCGAGCTTGTTGGGGTGTGCGCATGGCTGGCAAGCGAGGGTGGATATAGCCCGCCAAACATTGGCGACAGCAATGCGTGCACTTCCCATCTACTAAAGTTACTTGACAAAAACGTGAACTCAAGTTACACACATTTAAGAATGCCAATTTTGCAACACCCTTTACCCCCCACCCTCCCTTTTCATGATACGTCACTGCACACTTTTTATTTCACGCCGACCTGCCACTTAGCAGACGCCGCGCTTACATACGCTGCGAGCTGGCTGGCAAGCAAGGGTGGCAAGTGAAGGGAGGATTTCCCTGCGTCTTGCTTGCTCTGGCGTATCTATATATAGCCTGCGTGGTCATCTTGGTCTTGTTGTGCCCTAGTTTCTGGCCTATTATATATATAGATGCATAGTTTTGTTTACTATAAAAAACATGTTTTATGGTATTTACTGTATTTCTTAGTAAAACTCGGTTAATAAAATATATCCTGACTAAATACACTCCTCCTACATATTAAACATAGATTAAAAAATAAAAAGGCAGGATATTTTCAAGGAACATTTTGCCTTCTGTTACAAATAGGGAAGAGTTATGGTTATACACACTCTGGCCCCTTATCAAGTAAAATTCAAGGCACTAGCAGTGCCTGACCTGGCGAATCTCCCTTGTGTCATGTTTGGGGGAAACTTAAGTAAGAGATTTTTTTTTCCCTGTGTCCTGTTTTGCTACCTGGTCGGTCTATGACGCAGATAGCAAGTGCTATTTTGTGGAGCTAGCCACAAAGGTGTTAGTGGGGAAATGTTGACGTGGTGGGCTGTCTCCAAATTTCTTTAGGCATTAGTTAAGTATAAAATATGCAGTCATTCCTATGTAGAAACTAGTCAAACCAACATACAAAATTACTTATTTGTGTTATTCATTTTTAAAAACTGTTTAGTCTTTATTGCATTTATAAGAAAATAATAGTGCACAATTATTTTGAATGTGTGTGCTATGCTACACTATATGATAAAATCTAATTAATACAAATAAAATAATTTAGCAACATTAGCAGGTGTACGTAAACATCATATCAGAGAGCTTTTTAAAATAGGGTCAGGGTTGACGATGATACATTATATACATTTATATGTAGTAAAAAAAAAAAATTTAAAAGAAAGAAATGTATTTAGTCTACGTAAATGTAAGAGATAAACCATAGAGTTGCTGCTCTGGACATATTTTAAAATCTATCCCAAACATTCTTCACTGCAACTGCATGTCATACATTATTTTTACTTCAATCCAAATTTATTATTGCTATAAGTCTATAAGAATTAAGATACAAAAATATGTAATCATCTGTTCTCTTTAACATCCATAATTACTGGTTAAATCCTTAATAAAAAATTTAATTTAATAAATACGGACTCTGAACACCTCAAAACATATGCAGATGTCAACCCTGCTCTTCCTCCATTTCTTCATCTTCTTCAGCTCCTTCTTCTTGTTCCCTCTCTGCTTCAGGACCAGGAAGATTTGTGGCCAGTAAATCAAGCAGAGCTTCAATTTGTGTTTCTGTTAGTCTTTCTTCACTTTCTTCAACAATCAACTGAATTTCTACAGCTGTGCTTGGACAAAGATTAATAAGCTGAAGCTTTTCTGCTGGGGTCAACTTGAATGGAGTCAATGCTTTCATAGCAGATGTAATTCCATCTGAACTATGATGGGCGCATGGCCAGTTCTCAAGACATTTAATGGTTTCATAAGTTATTGTAGCCAAATTTGTCTGATATTTGTTGGGCTTCTTCTGGCCTCTACCAGCTTGAATATCTTTCAGTAGTCCAAGAACTTCAAAATTGCTCAGCATTCCATGATTTTCACTCTCAACCTCCATTGTCAAGATAGAATGCTTAGATAAAATGTTTGCTGAAAATGTCTCTAGCTTAGTGAGTGATCATGTAATTTTGTGAAGCATGTCTTCCAGCCGCAAGGACAAAGCTCCAAACCAGCACAACCAGGACAAAGAGGATCTGTAAAATAAATTTAAAACTATTTTTCACAAATCTATAAGCTATGAAAATGGAGATATATCTAATTTTCAATTTAATGCCACAATTACTAATACTAATTAGTGCTCAGTATGAAAAATTTATAAATGTCCAAATTGTATGCAGTCCTATAAAACAAACAATAAATTTATAGAAACGAACATCTTTCGGCAGAGAATTTTTAGAAATCTATTTTTTAAATATATGAAATTTTTTGCATTAAAAGATTATTTTTGTTTAATTTTTAAAAAATTTAATCGACATTTAAATATTAAACTATACAACTTTTATGCTAAAAGTTTGCACATTTGTTCTAGGATTGGCAATCCTATTGCTAATACTATTAGAAAAATTTACTATGGTCATGAATTTTTTTTATAATAATAATAATAATTAAACAATGTGCTTCATTTTAAAAATACAAGTACTTTTTATAAAAATAATAATTGTCCTTGAATTCAAATATCAAATTTATATTTCTTCTATGTTATAGTTTATTTCCTTGTGCATGCTCCACTAACAAACAAACAAAAAAGAAATGGGTGATGTCCTTGAATTCAAATATCAAATTTATATTTCTTCTATGTTATAGTTTATTTCCTTGTGCATGCTCCACTAACAAACAAACAAAAAAGAAATGGGGGGGGGGGGGCGCTCCAAGAGAGCTGAAATTTAGTTACACTCTTGGGTTTAGTATATATTTTAATATTTCAAAGTTTTGCAGAATAATTAATTTTATATTACAGTCGAACCTGCTTATCTCCACCTTGGTTAACTCGCCAACCCTGTTATGTCGACGTTTTTGAAGTGGAACCGCTAAATTCTCCTTTGTCTTAGCATTTTCTCCTCGGTTATGTCAATTCTTTTATGTCCCCGAACCCTGATATCTCGAGCACAAAAGACGGCCAAATTTGCCATTTACGTTGGTTATCTCAATCCCCTGTCCGATCACTGACTATTGAGCTTCACAAGAAGAGATAGCCACCAACAAATAAATAATTAAAGTAAATAAATAAATTATTTATTTCTCAAAATACAGGAGTGGTAGAATTTCTAAGTTTATGTTGTAATGATCGCCCTCCTTGTGTGCACAAAACAGACTATAATAAGGGCATTGTCATTCCCTTACTAGACAAAGGAAACTATGGTTCCTAGATCTCCATATGACCCCCTTGACCTACCAGCATTGACTGGTTTTGGATTTATGGTCTGTTTCCCGCATCCGAAAAATCTATAGGCGCGCACCACTATGTGAAGTACCTAATATTATAGACCAGGGGTCTCAAACTCACTGCCCGCGGGCCATTTGCGGCCAGCAATACGATATTTTTCAGCCCGCTACATGACAGCAACATTTAGTGTTAATGCGGCCTGCGCGTTTTCCCCATTCTCATATCTATAATGTGACCCACAGCGACGGTTTCAGTCGAATCTCACCGACTAGTCTATTTCTGATTTTTATTATGTTTGTATAGATTTGGACGTTGATTATAATGGTAAAAACGTTTTAAAATCGAACTAATTTTTTTTCTTTACAGTATTTTATGAGACAAACATGGCCAAAGTGTTGTTTTGATAAAAGTTTTAAGTCAGTGGGTAAACCATAACAATAATTTTGTTCATCATAGCAATCTGAGATAATATCGAAGAATCCCTATTAAAATTTCCGTTAATATATACGAGTGAGGGAAATTCCGAGCCTGTCAGCCAGGTCACTTTCAAAATAGATAGTCAAAAAGGCCTTTTCTAATTTCTATGCATTTTCCTTCGCATCACTAATTCATAAATATTTCCTGCTCCCGCCACTATTTGAACAAGTTTTAGCATTTAAAGCCTTCATGGAGAAGGATGGGTTGGTTATTTCTGTACTACTAAATGATCCCAAATGGCTCATGGACTTGAATGTACGGTACTCAACAAGAAGTTACAAGACCAGGGGTAATGGTCAGTGTTGCCTATGACAATGTCAGGGCATTCTGCACAAAACTTGTGTTATGGTTCTTAGAGAAACCTCTGCCATTTCCAAACATACAAAGTACTCATGGACTCAGACACAACAAAATTCAGTAGTAAGTAAACTGATGTCATTGCAAAGCAACTGGAAGAATTTGATCACATTTTGAGACTTCAAAACACACAAGCCACTTTTCAAATGTTTCCTGACTCTCCTTCAATCGAAGATGAGCCTGCCCCACTCCCCCCCCC